TGAAATTGTTTTAGGGTGGCACCCATGCTTAGAGTTTATTGATAATAATTTAAATTATAAATTTGTTTGTTAAGAATATCAATTCAAAAAATGTGATACTTGATATATTTATGATATGCTTATAAAAAATGTTCCCTAGTTCAATTTTTAAATTTTAATATAATTTCTACAGACATTTATAAGAGATGACTCCGAATTATCTTCAGTGAATAACTAGAATGTCTCCAGAAAAGTTATAAAAATCTTAACCTATGCAAAAGTTGATCTAAATGCAAAGATCTAGTTCTCTTACTAGCTATTATCAAAGAGAGTTTTGACTAAAAAATAATTTTTGATTCATGTGATTAAAATACTGAACTGTTAGATTTATAAGTATAAAATGAACTATATCATTTTTAACTATAATAATTTTGAAATAAATGAAAACATTTCTCTATACAGAACTGCATTATTTTATCCCGGTTATTACACTGACTCAGACTCTTTTTTTTTTTTTTGCTTCAGATCCAAAATTGCTTGTTTGGCGATTTTTGAGAATTATAGATATTATACTTGAACTAAGATAACACAGTGGATAAGGTAAGATACTGTGCTATCATTGTGAAAAACTAGGGTTCTACTTTTTTGGCACCAGTTTCCATACGCTTTTGGCACCAGTCCAAAAAATTTTGGAGCAATTTAAAATTAATTAATTGAGGAAAGTTCGTTTCAAACTGCGCAAGATATGTGTAATTTAAATAGTTCTTTTATACTGCCCATGTGCATAAAAATTTTTTAAAAAATTCTTAATTTTGTGGCGAATTTTATTCGGCAACTAATAAAGAAAAATCCAAATTGAATTTCTTAATTTTAAAAGTTTCAAGCTGTTTTCTAAGTAGTTTTCGTACTTTTTAAATGAATGCTTGAAATGATATGGGGTTTTCATGTACTTCGATTTGTTCACCGGCATTGTTTAATTTCATTCGCATTGTTGGAAATAATCCCCCATAAAATTATCTTTTTTTTTACACCTCTTTTCTTTTCTTATTAAGTCACATTTTGGTGTATGAACATTTATTGTAAGGTATTATCATTTGTTATTAAATTCTGTCTTATGATATAAAATAATATTCTTAGAAAACTCCTTATAATTTTGAGCTCTCTTTTTTAAAAAAAAGTACAAAAGCTAATTTGAAAATTGCAGGAAACTTCTTTATTTTTTAAGATATTCAAATCGAACTTTTTTCTTTAGTTGTCGAATACAAAANTTTTTTTTTTTTTTTTTTTTTTTTTTTTTTTTTTTTTTTTTTTTTTTTTGAATTTTACTGGGGCATGTGCTGTATAAAAGTATTACAACTTTAATTACTCCTACCTTACGCAGTTTGAAACACATTTTTCTCAAATTTTAAGGCAAGAATTTGCAAATAATTTTTTATTGCTCCAAAAATTTTGTTTAATTTTATAGAATTTTTTTTAAGTTATAATAAAAAAATTTCAGACAAAAAATTAGTCTTTTATAAAAATGTTTCGATCTCAATAAATATTTAAGCTAGGCTTACAAAATTTTGTGTAATTATTGCACGTAGAAAACAAAAAATAAGTTACAAATCTATTGTTATGTTTTTTGGCATAGGGTGTTCAAAAACATTTTCTGTTAGTAACTTATTGCAGGCCCCTCAAACCTCTAAAAGCATTGATATGTATGAGAAATCGCCTGATCTAAACACCTGAGTTATGAAATAATTTGTTAAGCATTTCTAAAGAAATATGAAACAATGTGCGTATATATATTGGCGTGGCTGAGAGGTCGGAGTTGTCTTCCTGGAAAGTAGATCATTGTAAAAATCATTGTAGAGAAGAAATCTCTTCTATATTTGTGAAAATGATAAAGATAAGTTTTAAGTAAGTTGCAAAATAAAAAATGTTTGCCGTTTTATAAGTAAAGACAATCCTTAATTACTATAATCACAATGTGTGTGTGTTCCATTCCACATATATATTTAAATTAATTCTTTTTAGGAACTGGCTTCTGAAATCATTCTTACTCTTGGGCAAGCTTTTGAAGTAGCTTATCAAATGGCCATAAAAGAAAAAGCTGTTAAAGCTTGGAATGCGGAGCATAAAAGCTCTAATAATCCAAAATCTACGTCATGACGAGCTATGCAATTCTCTTTTTTGTACAGTTGTTGCATAGTAATATATTAAATTTTAGGAATATATTTTAAATAACTCTATTACCAATGCTTTTGATCTCTGTAAATAGTTTGACCTAAGTGAAGAAATCATATTGTTAAATTTTATGTTGTTAATCATTTTTGTTGAAAATATCATTGTGTGTTATTCATTAATTACTATTTGTTTCCATACATCAATACTGGCATCCTGCTTTTATCCTGTTTTTGTATTTGCATTTAAAAAAAATATTAACTAATGCATTATTGTCAACTTTGCTGGAAAATCTAGTAGACTACTGGATTTTGCCAGTTTCTTTTCGTTTAATCACAAAATAATACAGAATGATTTTCCAAAACTGGGGAAGTATCTTAAAGAATCCCTATTTTTTTTACTCCGCTTTTTGTTTACTTCACAATTCAAACAATCAATAGTATTACTAAGTGTTGAAGTAAGAGTCAAAGATTAAGTAATATTATTGGAGAAAAGTTTTTCATATTTATTTAAACATTTTAATTTATTTATTTAAATATTTTGTCTCACTATAATAAAAAAACTCTTTAGGGCTGCCACTGTTGTTTTGGGTTTCAGCTTAATATGTTTTCTTTTGCTGTGTGTGTGTCAAAAAACTTTAAATCACGAAGGTGTGTAGCAAAATATAAAAGAAAAATGGTGTAATAAAAAATTAACATTTTCGAAGTAAATGCAATGCAATAATATCAGTCCAAAGAAATGCGACGACAATATTGAAATTAGATGCGTTGAAAGGGTCGTTTTCATTCATAAACCTAATGAGTTTTTTTTCGCCTTTTTTAAAAAAAAGCTCTAATTTTTTCAAAAGCATTATTGCAATTTTAAGTGCTTTTTTTACAAATTTTTTTCTCGCTTTTTTTTTGCTTTAAATTTTGACCATTTATATTTTGTAAATGTTGTAATGATTGTAATATTTCTTAGGAATATTTTCATTCGTAACAAGTCTTTGTTAACATTTGTATCAAAATTTTTAGTAATATAAAAGACTCAAGAGAGATAAAAACAATTTCTTATTTGAACTACTATTTGATATAAAGTTGATGTTAAATATTGTTGACAAGTAAAATTATTTCTAATTCATTACTTTATATTGTCATACATTCTCTATTCTTAAGTTCAAATTTATATTTCAAGTACAGTTGATTATTTTTAAAATCCAGGTTTCCTTTCATGTCTTCGTGATTAACATGTTAATAAGAAGTGCTTGTGTTAAGTTGTAATAACTATATATTTTATAAACAAAAAAATTTGTTTCATTGATATGTAAGAAGAAAAAAATAATGATAGAAAAGACGAAACTCTTAAAAACATATTTTGGCTAAAAACAGCTTTTTTCTTGTAATTACCAAAATCAAAAAGCACTTTTTCAACTTTTTTATTTTGAAATTTTCAATATTTAACATAAAGAAGAAAGTAAAAGTGGTGAAAATCGTATTTCCCTGTAAAAAAATAATTTTAATAAAACTTTTATATATATATATGTATAGGTATTTTAGGTTATTTAAATTATATTTAAAAAATTGGTCATAAATAAAAATATGAGTTACCATTTGTAACTTAATTTGAGTCAAAGTTCAAAATGGCTGCTTAATCTCAGTTTTATTCTACAAATTCTGAAAAATATTTTACCCTTTTTTCATCAAAATCTTTTCTACAAAAAATTTTATGAAAATTTATGACATGAAGGCGTCAGCCATTTCATACATGTGCATTAATTTGCATAAATTGTTTATTAAATCTACCAATTATTTTTTCTTTTATTTTGGCAGCTACGTTAAAAATAAAATGCTCTGTTATATATTGTTTTAGTTGCAAGACCTTAGAAAAAGACAATTGAATAGGGATCTGTGACTCTGATATGGTTAATAAAAGTCATTAATACATCTCTATTTTCTAATGAAAACATTTTGAAAATTATATTTTAAGTTATTAAAATGACATTTTGATTTTTTATAGTGTTTTAAAAATTTAATGTGAAAAAGAACTTCTTTCCCATATTACTTTTCAAAATTAGCAAAAGAATTAATATTTTTTATCCATGAACATTCCCTAAAATATTCTTTATAAATAAGTTTATTTTATCCTCTTTTTTTAAAAACTATTTTAGTCAGCTGTATTTTTATGCAATTTGTACATACAAGCAAGGGCAAATCATAGTTATTTTATATTGAACTTGTTTAACTTTTTGCTTTATACAATCTTGCTATACAGATAATTTTTTAGTTTACCTTATAGGGTTAGATTGAAAATATGGTTTAAGGTGCATAAAGGCTCAGGCTTCCTGTTTTGGGCTCTGTATTGTTGTGTTAATGTAGCCTTCATAGAGTTTAATCACTTAATTTTAAAAAAGTAGACATTTTAAATTTTTTAATTGATTAAATTCAATGATAAAGATGTGTTTTTTGATAGATATTCTCAACTTTTATGAAATATGGATTTACATGCTTTTTAGTTCCATTTTAAGAATTTTGAACTATTAATCAAATGTTGAACAGGCATGGACTACTAGGGATAACCTACTATTGTTTTTTTTTTTTTTTTCTAATTCAATCGAAGTGCAGTTCTGATTTTCTATAATATGTATCTAAGATTAAGAAATCTTATTTGTAGAAAAAACAAGTAATTTTCATAAACAGGACAAATTTTTATTTAATATCTTAGTGCAAATTCAAAGTTGTTTTCCCTGTCAGGGTCTTAGGATTTGGCCATTCAGGCTGTAGTTATACTTTGAGTTACATCATGAAAAACCACACAATGTTTATGGATTCTGAAAGGGAATTTGTTGTAAGAAAATCTGAAATATAATTGAACATCATCCAAAGGGGAAAATTTAAGTCTCTATTTGTTTTAACTTAGGATGCGAAGGACTGCAAGGAATTTTCAGGATTTTCGTAATGAGTATATTTCTAAAAATTATCTGTTATTTTCAAAAAATAATCTTTTAATTGGAATGGTGACTTTTTTGGCTCTTTGTGAAAGAACAATTTCTACATCTAAAAATTAATGGGAGAATCTATTTTAAGCTATAAGTTAATATAGAAAGATTCCTTGTATGAGACATTCTTTGAGACATATTACATAACAGTCTTTGAGACATATATTTGCGTATTAATTGCAGCCTAGATTTAGGTTGCAATGTGCAATGGTTAATATGAGTAATATATTTCTCAAAATATTGATTCTTCAATTTGTTCATCAAATTTCTTGGAAAGTAATAAGCATATTTTAAACTTTTTTGTCTATGTATTGTGCAAAACAGACAATCAATTTTAGTTTTTTCTTTACCTATCAAGTGCTTTGTTACAAAATATTTAACAATTTTAGAGAATCTTTTTTTAAATTGTTCAATGTATTTTTAAAATCATGCCTTATTATATTACTGTAAAACCTCGATTTCTTAGACTTGTTGAAAAATATGAAAAAAATTTAAACATCAAAGAATAAATGAAAAAAAAAGCCTTATATATACCCTTTTAAAGAGGAATGCCTTTTTTTTTAATAAAATCAAAACTATGCATAAGAAATATTACTTAACAAATTCCATTGGTTGCTTAAGTTACTGCATATACATGATTATTACTAACTAAAAATAGTCAGGATCAATTTATCAAATAAGTTATTGTAGAAAAATTAGCAACATTAGTTGAATTCCTTACATGAGGTGGTAAAAATTTAGTTTGTATATTATTGACTGCAGATCTCGATTCCTAAATTTTAAAATATGTGCTTAGTTTTCCCTCTTTATCATTAATTAGTTTTTCTATTTTGAAAAATTTCTATTCCCTGATATTTTAATAAATGTTTTCTTAATTGCATGCGTAAAAAATATCAAGTTATTGGTGAAAAAATCATCAAGACAAGTATTTTTTTACATCATTATGTACTTGGAATTTTTATCCTACATATAAAAAAATTATCTGGGAACCTTTTTCCTTTAAATGCAGTAGTTAAATGTTTATGTATATTTATTTACAGCAAAGTTTAATAAACCATATTTTGCATATTATAAATAAGTTGTTACATCATTTATAAATGTAAATCCCAATTTTTTTAAATACGAACCGCTTTTGAGTTTGGTTTACGAAAATCAAGCTTAGATCATCAATAGATTTTAGAACGGATTAGTTTCAAAATGTTGTACATTTATATTATATTCTCTTGTCTACTAAATTAATGTATAATCCTTTAATAATTGTGTTAATAAAATTATTTTGCAGTTTGGCTTATTGCAGAACAGTTGTTAAAAGAACTTAAAATTTGTTATACAGTAGAGAACCATTTATCCGATATCCAGATAACCGGCGAAAATTTTCATCGGTTTTCCCGCCATTTTAAACTAGAACGATTATGAAAAAAAGCGGAAATTGAACTCATCCTTGAAGTTGAGTAGAGGAAAATGTAAGGAAGGGGAGAATTTTTTTCCCCGTTTACCCAGAGAAACGTCATTTCCTCCGTGACCTTGAAGGCAGGGAAGGGAGGAATGTTTTATTTTCTCCTTTAGGCCGTCAATCAAGCTCAAGGGTGTGGCATGCTGATTTCGTTTTCTGTTTGATTTACGAGGGGGGTGGGGAAAATGCATTGCATGCACATCAGTGAACAGAAGATGAAAGAGAAAAATATATTTATCTATTTAACATCGATTAATAAAAATAAAATCTTTTTCTTCTGAATAAATTCTCATTCTCTGGAAGTGCGGTATCATTTGCAAGTTTTTATTGCTGTGGAATCACATCTGCTGTAATTAAATATCATGTTTTTATCAACAAAAAAATAAGAATAAAAGGAGAATTGTTTATTAATTTAAACATAGGATTATTTTCTGAAGCAGATTGCAGTTTTGTTTTTCTGATTCCACTACGTTTGATATTTCGCGATAAATTTCGCACTCAACAAATTAATTCTTTTTATTCATAAAAAATTTTATCATTAGGTTTTTTTTTAAAATTCTGTTGATCTTGCCTTGTTCCGGGTTTTAATATTTATGCTAGTGCCTTTTTTAACTATCGTTTCGGTTCGATAATTTTCAAGTGTTTTTATTTAGATTAATAAGTTTTCCTTTTATTTTATCGTTTCCCCCGTATAATTAGGTATGAAATATATTGCGTTATTTAATCATTGGTTTTGTTTATATTATTTAATTTAGGAATTGTAATTATTTTTAAAAAATAAATATGAGAATTTTGTATTTTTTAAACTTGATTTTCTTGTCTAAACTTGCAAATTTTTTTATTCTTTTAAATGTTATATTTCTACCATTTTTTTTTCTTTTTAAAGTTAGGAGTACCTTTCTTTTTTCTCTTACTTTATGCATTACACTTTTTCCTTCTAATTCGGGTTCGATAAAACATCGATTAACGACACTTTTTGGTTGATCCAGAAAACCGGGAAATTCAAACATCCGGGATAGCGATGGTCCCGAGCATTTCGGATAATTGGTTCTCTACTGTATATGCAAAAAACATTTTTTTAAATTATCACTTAAGGTATAGTCTCTTTTGTTTTAAACTAATTCACTATTTATTTATATAAAGTTGTGGCTATAATCTGAATTAAAATAACGAAATTCGCTTTTAGTGCTAAGTCGAATTTTATTGAACAGGCATAGAAATAGATTTTTTTCCTAATGTGGTTTATAGGCCCAAGGGTTTTAGTCACTAGGTTTTATCTCAACAAATCAAAAAGATATTAACTCTTCAGTAATAAAGGCACAATTTTTCAATAAAATAAGTATCTTAATATATGTTGTGAAATCATCTGAAAAATTGCTAAATCAAACCCTTATATTTAAAATAAATAATCCTATGAATTAAGAAACACAGTGCAAAGTGGCCCCAAAAAATTATGTATCAATTAATAACATAATTAATAAGCATTTGTGTACATAGCACATTTGAAATATTGATTCCTACCTCAGTCAAGTTCTATTTTTTGTTTTGTGCTTTTAAAATAAAATTTTGTATTTATTTTAAGTTTGATCGTTTGGCATTGATTAAAATCCTTTTTTTTTCTTTTTTACAATTTATAATCAGTTGTACATCTAAAAATTTTTGTTTGTTTTAAAACAGTTGAAACTTCTTTAAAGATTTATTTAGGTATAAATTCTAGTTGTGAAATTACTTTTTGCATTTCAGATCATTGGAAATTTATTCTATTTTCATGGAATTTTTATTATACTTTTATTTTCACTTTTTATTAAGATCTAGGAATTTGAAATAATATTTGTGTTTGAATAAAACATGTATGAAATAATAT